AGGCTGCTGGCACCGCCCCCGGAGCCAAATGTGTCCGATAAGTTGGTCCTGAGGAAGGGGAGAGAGGGAGGGAGGTGTCGGACCCAGCTGGGCATGGAAAGGGCTGTGGCAAGGAAGGGGACAGGGGACTGGCCAAGACCCTGCACTGGTGACCTGGGATGGCACAGAGGGGTAACGTGGACAGGGGGAAGGAGAGGGGCTCACCTGCTCTGCACCTCCTTGGCCAGGTTGTAGACGAGGCTGAGGCGGTGGCCCTGCTTCTCCCGCTTCTCCCGCAGCATCCTCTCCGCCAGCAGGAAATACGTGGCCGTGATGTGGTTGTAGCGATCGGCTTCCAGCGCCCTGTGCGACCGAGGGACTCACGTCAGTGCACCACGGACGTGCCGGGACCCCCAGAGCCCTTTGCAGGGGCTCCCACCTCGGCATCCCACCCCAGCACTCACTCCTGGATGGTTTCCCGATCCGCGATGTTCCCGCACATCATGGCCTGGAGGATGATCTCGTGCTCCTCCTGGGACACGCGCTTGTGGGAGGTGAGGGGCAGCAGGGAGCGGCTGGCGGGGGACGGGTCCACCCCCTGCAGCCACGTGTGGCCCTCGATCTGCTCCAGGGACGCTCGCTGCTTCGGGTCCCGCTGCAGCATCCTGGAGATGAGACTGCGGGAAAAGGAGCGACGCTGCAACCCTGCAGCAGCACGTGAACCCCAAACCAGGCAGCTTTACCCTCCCTTTTCCCACCTCAGCTCCCAGGCATCCCCGAGGGATGGGGCACCCACCCCGGGGGCAGCATGTTGGGGTCTGGGGGGTGGTGCTTACTCAGCGCACTGGGCCGAGACGTGCGGGGGGACGGTGTAGCGGCAGTCCATGATCATGGTGAGGGTCTCGCTGTCGTTGGCCTCCTGGAAGGGGGGGTGGCCGCACACCAGCATGTAGAGGATGACCCCCAGGCTCCAGATGTCTGCAAGAAGCAGCAGCAGTTCAGGTTGCACTCCCCCCGTGGGCCGAGATTCTCCACCCCAGGGACTCCGGGGGGGCCACCCCACCAGTCCGTAATGCCGATCCAACAGACACCAGCGGGAGGCAACAGCTCCCAGGTCCTGCCCCATGGACAGGGGGACTGCAGCCCCACCAAGGCAGGGAAAGACCTTCCCCATCCCCACATCCAAGCAGGTCTCAAGGGGCTTCACCAAAGCAGCTGAGGTCCTATCCCCTTGTCCAGGCAGGCACAGGGAGGCCAGCCCTGAGCTCTGTCCCACCAGTCACTCTCCCCCCTCCCCCCCAGTGCCATCTCATGTCATTTCTCAGCTTCTCATTCCCAGACCATTCCACCACAACCATCCTGGCACTGGGCTGTGCTGCAAGAGACTGCAGTGATGGGATGAGGACACAGCACTGATCTGGGCTTTCAGGCTGTGTGGGCACCAGCTGGAGTGGGATCGCTGCCCCATCCTGAGGGCAGGGATGGAGCCGGCAGCATCTTCACTGGTCCCTCCTGCCCAGAACACAAAACTCCTGCAGAAGGCACATTTAGGATGCTGAGCACGCCCCGGGGCTCTCTGTTAATACCTTCAGCTGCTTAAGTCAAGTGTTTGAAAATTTCTCATCTGCGTCGGTTCTCTCCCTTCATTTCCCTTTCAGCGCCACCAGCTTATTTTCCTACCGCCTCCATAAGCTATCCCTGCTCTCTGCTCAGGATCCGCCTTTTCCTGAGCCAATGCTGGGCTTTTTCCTTTAAGGGCTCGTGTTTTGCTTTGCTAAATCCTCCTGCCCTAATTCCAGCCAGCCAGCCAGCTCAGATCCTGCTTCCCTCCCGCGTCCCCTCCGTCACAGCAGAGCCTCTCAGAGCCCCCAGCCCAGCTCCCTGTGCCTTGGGACAGCCTCCCCAGACCCCCGTGCCCCAGCCAGGGGAGGAAGGGCGCTGGGAGGCACAGAGGGGAAGCGGTTTTCAGGGCGGGGATGGAGCAAAGGAAACTTTCGGAGCTCCTCCACCCAAACAGCAGCATCCCAAGCAGATTTCCTTCCGGCCTCACCCCCCCAAATAACCACTAGCGCCAGATTGCCGGCAGCTGCGTCCTCACTCTGCTTCTCACTCTGCTTCTCCCGAGCCCCCGGCGGATGCCACGACGGACTCACAGCCTGCTCGGGCTTTTTCCCCTCCCCGCCATGATCCCTGTGGGATCTCAGTGGGTGCTGGGATGGTCTCTGCAGGGAGGACCCCTCGAGCCAGGGCAGGGCTGGGCAGCCCAGCACCCAGGGGATAGCCGTGCTCCCTGCAGGGACAGCAGGGCCACCGGGTGCTCCCGGCGTAAGGGGCCAAAAGCAAGGTGGTTCCTGGCCGGCAGGACCACACTCCAGGATACGAGGGAGGCAGGTCCCCAGGGTGCCTCACCACCCTTACCCACAGCCGGGGCGTCGTACTCGTCCCCAAGCAGGATCTCCGGCGCCGAGTAGGCCAGGGAGCCGCAGCTGGTGGTGAGCATCTTGCCGGGCTGGAAGCGGTTGCTGAAGCCGAAGTCGGTGAGCTTGACCACCCCCTGCTCTTGGAAGAAGACCACGTTCTCGGGCTTGAGGTCGCGGTGCACCACGTGGAGCTTGTGGCAGTAGGAGATGGCATGGACGATCTGGGCGAAGTAGTGCTTGGCCCGCGGCTCGGCCAGGCCGCCCTCGTGCCGCATGATGTGGTCGAACATGTCCCCGCCGTCGCCCAGCTCCAGGATGAGGTAGAGCTTGGCGTGGGTGTCGATGACCTCGTAGAGGCG